GGTGAATTTTAGACAATTTTCCTATATATATATATATTTAATACTGGATGTATTTAATTAATCAGAGGGTTACCCCATCAAGATTATATCTTGTAAGTCGTAACGCTTCCCCTTATATAACAGTACTCTTTAATCGTGAAAGATCCATTTTTGCCAGGAACTTAGACAAATTTATCCTTATTAATATTCCGAAACAAATGAGTTCTCATAATATCATCAACCATGCAATCCTGGAAAATACTTTGGCAACCAATTAATTATTTATGAGAATCCACTTGAAATTCCATAAATTTGGATTAAAATTATAGACAACAACCAACCAACATTCTTATACAAATCCAAAAGAGAATGGATTATATTCTTCCATGAATGAGAAACTAACAAATAAACTCAAGAAATACCACCAAGCAAATAAACTCCAAGATGTGAGAAGCAATGCTTACTCACTTAACGGCTCAAGTTTCTTCCTATCAAATTAGCCAATCACATCAGCAATCCTTTTCAAGACTTCATAGCCCTAAATAAAAACAATAAAACGAAAATATAGGCTAAACCATACCATTCAAATCTACAAATAACCAATTCATTCTGAATTGCTGACCCAATTCTCAGCTTTGGTATTTATCTGCTTTAATTGATTTTAGAATTAAAGCAAAAACAATGTGCATCCTGTTCAATGTCTTATTGGACTATCTAACCTGTTCAACCTGGATTAGATTGGACTGTTCCACTTCATTGTCTTATTGGATTGATTGTCCAACCTATTCAACTTGGACTGGTCCTATCCATTGTCTTATTATACTGGATTGGATTGGTCCAATTCAATGTCTTATTGGACTAATTGTCCAACCTCTTAAACTTGGAAACATCTTATTGGGCTGTCTAACCTGTTCAACTTGGAATAGATTGGACTGGTCTAATTTAATTTCTTATAGGACTGACCCAATTCAAACTTATTTAAATTTACCCAGTGGTTTCTACTTTCTAAAACTACTTAAGTATATACCTTATTTAAGCCTTTTTCAATTAAAGATTAATTGAAAATATTAAGGCTGTGTTTGGAAACGATGCAAATAAGTGTGAATGCAAATATGTAGAGTGTAAAACGGTTCATATAAATTGCAAATATGGATTAGTTTTGCATTGACAAATTTACCTTCTTACCAAACAAACTTTTAGCTGTAATGGATGCAAACATGAATTCCAATAAAGCATATGCCTTTTTTATTAAAAGCCCACTTGAATGCAAATTTACTTCTTTTTTATTGATGTACTTTTACATTTTATTATCAGTGTAAATATGCATTGGTCTCTCATTTGTCAATGCATAAATGTAATGTTGCCAAACACAGGCAAAAGTGAACCAAAGTGCAAATTTACCTTGAACCGGGATTTACACTCCATTCGCATCGTTTCCAAACGAAGCCTAAAGGACAAAATGCTCTTAATTGTTCATTAAATTTTCAAAACATGCACTTTAATTGTTATACCAAAAGAGTCTTGTATACCAATACCAATACCAATTCTTGGGTTCAATTATGTTGCAAATTAACACTCGGAGGATTCTATCCAGCTGCAAACATAGTTAAGCTGCTAGTAGCATTATTACGAGTAAGAACAACATACCATGTGATGATGCTGTTTTTGGCAGCACCCTGTTGTTCTGACTACTTCCTGGTGGCTGATGACTCAAAAGTCGAGCTGGAGTATTTCTGACGAATGAAGGCTTAGATGCCGAATTGACTGGACCGAATTAGGAGGCTGCTCAGGTACCGAGCTAGGTAGCTCTTTGAAGAGACCTGTAGGGAAATAGTGTCAGAGGACCCAAGGTGGATACCCGACGAGGTCTGGAAGCTCCAATTGATAGTGTGTGATCTGGAAGCTCCTAGCTGGAAGGATGCCTGGACGTTGTTCGCAGCGAGCTAGACCAAGCTACAAACTAGAGATTAGAGAGACTAGGGTGGATGACCCAGGGAGGTCGCTCTAATGCTTAAGTTAGTATTTTGTTGTACTCTGGTTGCGAGCTGAAAGCTCGAGTGCTAGAATGCTAGTGAGCAAATAATCGCGTGTACCTGAGTCTTGGGGGTTGATGTCCTTATATAGGCATTGTTTGGTGTAGGCTTCACACACCGCATCCGAGATTTCTGGGAGGTCGTGCTTAACCGATTCGAGATCCTCGGAGGTAACCACCATGCACATTGACCATTCTTTGGAATATCCAGTACGTGGGCCAACTTTCGAGAAACTTGGGAACGTTGAGATATGCATGTTGAATTTGTCGGCGAGCACATCTCGCAGGTCACCACCTAGTCCTCGGTTAGGTCAGCAAGCCCTCGAGGGAGGTCACTCCTCGCGTCGAGGTCACTTCGGCCAGTGATGAGGTGCTATAGGTTGGTCCTCGACGAGGTGCTGCAAGCCAACCTAAATTGTGGTCGAGGTCGCCAAGTCGGCAATAGAGGCAGGTCGCCAACTGGGACCCAATTTTGGCTAAGGCAAGTGGTTGCCTAAGTGATGTTGGGATGTAGTCTAGTTGTTCTGAGATGCCATGTGTCACGATGTCATTGGAGGACCAAATCCGCCCTCATCGATTCCCCCCCACCTCTTGAGCTGAGAGTAGCTCGATGAAGGGAGTAGGTCACTCCTTTTGGCCCGAAATGACTGATTCGTTGGTCTGATTTGCTTCTCAGGTTGGAAGAGTCCAAGTGTTTGTCACCTTACATAGGACCTCGTCGTTTTGATAGTCGAGGCACGAGAGCAAATTCATCTGCTCGAGGAGAGGTGGAATAGGTATCCCGAGGACATCTACCTTATTAGGGATGTGACCATCAAGCGGTTCTGCAATCCAACTAAGGGTCTCAAGAGAAAAGCTCATCATGCCGTCATAAAAAAGGGGGTTCTAACTGTGCAACTACTTTATCAGATCGCTCCACCTAGGTAGACTTCGATGCAGTGCTGCTCGAGCAGGTTCTAAAAGAGTAGCCAACGAGTTTGATGTGAAGCCTAAGACCTAAGTGGAGGTCGGCTGTGAAGAGATCAGCCAAGTTTGTATGTCTGCCATGGTGCTGAAAGCAAAGTAGTCTTTCCCTTGTTTCCTTTTCTCTCTTTCCCCCCTTTGCTTCATGTACTTCAAACTTTCCTTTATATACAATGCAAGTTTCAAAATTCCTTGTTATGAAAAAATTTTCTATGTATAGATTACTCCCGAAGTGTCGAGCTGTCGAGTTAGGCCCGAATAAGAATAACCCAATCTTGCTGCACTACAAGTGAACAGACGTTGTAGGGTTTATGCTCGACTTGTTTGCACAGGAGCTACTCTTTTATTTGCCCATACCAAAGTGGTTGGGTTCTTGGTTCCCTATGCCGAAGAGGCAACTAGGACTTATCTGCCTATGCCAAAGAGGCGATTGAGACTTATACTGTGCCGAGGTCTTTTGTCAGCTCGCACCTTAAACCTTAGGTCAGGGGAGCGACTTATGGTCCACTCTCTTGTAAATGTCCTAACCAGTTCGGTGGTCGGTGGTGAGATGTTGATGTCCTTTGAGGTCGATCAAGTGTAGTAACTATAATCATGACACTATCGAGCTAGATAGATGGGGGGCCGACCTACTGAGGTCGGTCTTCTTGTTACCGACGTGCTTCGAGGTCAATTTTTGACGTCTGATGATAGGTTGATACCACAGTTGCACTGCATTAGCCCTCGAGGACGTTGGTCATCAACTCCTACGAGAAGCCATAGGGAACTTGACTTGCGGGGGTAGCTTTGCTAACTGTAGGTTGCCAATTCACACGGGAGCCTTGAAAGGCTCGCCCAATAAGGGCGTTTGCATAGTCCGTAGGCCGCCAACTCCCACGGGAGTTGCAAAGGGTTCAACTTGTAGGGAAGACCTCGCAAAGGAGGCTGACGAGGCTCGTCCGGGTTGAAATGAGGTTAGCAGAGCTGCTTAGTCCATTGGCCATCAACTCCCACGGGAACCATGAATGGCTGGACCTTCGGGGATGGCCTTACTCCGAGGTGCCTGTCGCCGAACTACAAATATATTTTGCCCATGCCGAAGAGGCGGTTGAGTTTCCCATGCCGAGGAGGCGACTAGGTCTTATATGGTGCCGAGATCTTTTATCAGCTCGGAACCTTACCCCTTAGGCTTTGGGAGCGACTCGCTATCCACTCTCCAACAAAATATATCTAATACTAAAAAATTCCCCAAAATGAAACAAAAATAAGGTTCACGTTAAGGGACAAAAATGGGGAAAAGGGGCAAAAATTGAAAGAGGTTTAAATGCTGAAATCTAATGACAAAAGACCATGAATTTATACAACTCAATAAAATCATTTGAAGACAATATCTGCACTGCAGTCCATTCATGGAATGTCATAATGCGACCTTTTCAGCCCTAATTTTTCTATTTTGCTATTATGGTCTTACATGGCTGGGTTTGATAATTTTACTTGAATTTTCAGACCTAATTATAAGAGATTTTCTGCGATTGGGGATAAAAAATTTATTTTTCTTTCAGCATCAGATATTACAAATTACAGGGGGATTAAGGGGTGGGAGCAGAGTGACCATCTCAGCTATTAGGACATCAGTGCCATTAAAATTCAATTAGAGCTGTATTCATGTTCTCTGAAAATAGTAAAACCTCAATTAAAACTATATTCTTTTCAGTAAATTAAGCCATTCAATCAAAGAACAAAAGTAATGGATGATGAAGGTATGGCTAAACCACAGTTAGAAACCAAATCCATATTGGAAAATCACAATCCTGCAACATTTGAAAGGCCTTTTTCAATCTCTGTTTATACACCCATTGAATATGGAAATCAGATTCTTTGTGACCTTTGTTCGTGGTGATGAGATAAGGCTACGTTTTTCTAATATCCCAATTCAATATAAATAGATTAATATGCAGAATTTAGCAAGAAAATAGAAGAAGCCATCTCTGCAAAATTACTTCTGGAGAAAAAATAAAAAAAACTGAAGTAAAAGAAAAAGAACAAGTTCAGATACATATTTGAATTGCATTTCCACAAAAGTTACACACTTGAATTGAGAAAAAAAACAAATATATTGAAGAAATAGAAGGCTCCATTAACATTGATCAAATGATCACATTGATCCTAATCCATGTGAAGAATCCCTTCTAAAATTTGAAAGGGTTCAAATCCTAACACATTGTCCTTGATTTCAATACAAATTTTTCAAACGAGCGAAATTTCACTGAAATCGAGTTGACTCGCAATCTCTTCCAGTTGCTTCTTCACACTCATGTCGATCAATTTCGAACCAGAGTTCCCGTACCTGATCGTGAACCCTGCAACGAGCGACGGATCCAGCACGGTCTTGATCCTCACGTTCTTTGCCCCCGTCAACCTCTGCACTCCCTTCGCTATCTGCGCCAAGTGCTGCGACTCCAACGGCACCACTGAAGTCACGATCGCCAGCTCCGTGTTCGTCAATTTGTTATAGAATAGCTCGAATTCCTTCACGATGTCTTTCACCAGCTCGATCCGCTTCATGTCCACCAGAATCTTCAAGAAATTCGCCGTGTGTGGTTGCAAGCTCGACGATTGAGCAATCTCGTCGATCACTTGGCTCTTCTTCTCGCTTCTGATGGTTGGATTCGCGAAAAAGTCGTATACCAGAGAGTCCTTGAAGACCTTCTCCACTTTCTCCATGTCTGCGCTGGTTGAGTCCAGTGTTCCGTTCGATTTGGCAACCTCGGCCAAGGCGGAGGCGTAGCTCGCCGCGGCCGTGTCCAACATAGTTGCTCCGGCCGCTCCGGCTCCGCGTCGAAACCTGGTCTTGGCAGCGAGTTTCGGGAGTTTGAGGGATGAAAAGCTGCCGGAGAACGACAATCGGATTGGTCTCGAGGCTAGGGTTTTACCGGAGACCCGTGCCGACAGTGGAGTTTTAGCTTGAAGTGCAACCGGAGATTGCTGCAGAGCCGCCATGGTTACCGGCGACGACACTAGCCGAGATTCTGATGTTGCGTTTTTGGATTTTGAGGCTTTTGCGTTTTGCCGGGTGTTGGAGAGGTTTTGATTCGAACGGACGGTCAAAAAAGGGACACGTTTTGCAATCGACGGTGCAAAAGAAGCATTTTATCTTGTATTTGGAGAACGGCAACCTCTTATCCACGGTTGGCGAAAACGCGCCACGTGGAAACACCGATATGAGTTGAGCGCCATTCAAATCTTACCTCACTGCGAGAGTGCGAGGAGTGGAAGAGGTGCGAAGTGGTGGTTATTGCTGCTTCTAAGGTGATCCCCGATTTGGACCTCACAATATTTTCCTCACACCGTCCTCACATAGACTTTTCAACCGTGTATTGGGGATATCACATTTCACACTGTATAATGTAATGTGAAACGGCCGTGTATGGGATATCACATATGATGTAGGCGCACCTGGCCCGGACCAATGGGACGGCAGCGCATGTGCGGTAGCAGCATTCAGAGCGAATCCAATCAGTGCGCCTAGAGCAGAGCTCGGCGAGGAACCTAGAGCCATTAGCGCGGGTGCATTTGGCAGTCCTAATGACCGCACTTCTAGTGTACGGGCTGCATCTCGACCGTCCTAGCTCACTTACCTCCAGACGGCCTCAAGTATAAATAGGGGGCAATCCCTCAAGATAAGGGTCTTAAATCTTGAATTTGGAATCTAGAACCAAGAACTCTAAGAACTCTTTGATTACTTGTGGCCTCGTCTGAGTGCTCCCACCTCAGGCCTCGTCCACCTCGTACTACCTTGAATTAACTTGATTGTCAGAGTCTGCCTCGGGTACTCACCCGAGGCCTCTGACGTTATCCCTTCTTTACTCCTCGCAGGATAGGCCTACCAGCCCTCGATTGATCTAGGCCTCAAACTACTCAGCCACATCTCGTATCGGAAACAAATTGATAGTGTTGCCCCTAGCCCATTCTGGGTAGCAACAATTGGCATCGTCTGTGGGAACGTCACTAAGACTTCCTTCAACAAAATTGCATTCTCTCAAACTTAAAGAACTAACTCCTAAGCTTTAGCCGACATGGCAAGAAACACTAGGAACACCCAGAACCTGGTCACAAGGGATAAGCTCCAAATGGTTCTCAACCGGCTCAATGACCTCACTCGGAGGATCAATGAGGTGAGGCCCCAAGCAGGAGGCCGCCCATAAGATAGAGCTCAGGGCAATGAGGTGAATGCTGGACCCGTTAGCCATCAGCCCGGTTGGGTTCCACAGGACCGACCCCTTGGATTCCGACAACAGCCGGTGTTCCTGCTAACCACCGAGGGCCTCTTGACCTCCTAGCCGTAGAAGGGACGAATCTGCATAGTCTCGTGATCATTGCTGAGACCAAGAACATCACCGTCGCCGAAGAGAAGACTCCCAGGACATGGGCACGTGCCCGCATTAGAGTACTTGGCGAACTGAGCCGACCCACACTACGTCCAAGAGAACCAGGATGGGGGCACCCCTTGACCAAAGAATCGTTGACCTATAGGCACAACTCGGTGCCATCAAGGAAGAGCTTCACCAAGTTAGAGAGAGCCGAGCTGAGGCCTTGACCAGCCAGAATCCTCCGATCGTCAGAATGGATGCCTTCACCCCGGACTCCCCCCTTGGTCCATCAGCTTGTTGGAACAGTTTGCCAACCTCTTCCTTGCACACTTCATCAACAACAAAAGATTCCAGAAGAGCGTTGTCTCTCTCATGGCCGCCCGAAAAAAGCGTAGAGAGAGCCTGTGGTCCTACATCGACTGCTTTAAGAAAGAAGAGCTCGAGATTCGAGATATCGACCCCATGGTCTCCATGCATGTCACTATTAACGACCTACTTCTGGGCTCGACCCTTAGGTGCTTAGTGGCCAAGACACCGCCAATGTCCAAGGTGGAATTCTTGAAGAAGGCTCAGAAGTACATCGCCGCTGAGGAGGCCTTAGCGGGTGACCTTCAAGAAGGAGAGGCCGATCGCCACCACAGGGGCCCAGAGAAGAAGAAGAGGAATGGAGACAACCACAGTAATAACAACATCACTAGCAACAACAAGAAGCCACCAACCTCGACCATGGCTTATAGCAAGTATACGCCACTCAACTCCGCCCAGACGCAGATCCTCATGCAAGTAGGGAAGGAGGAGTGCATGAAGTGGAATGAAAAGATGAAGAGGAATCCAGAGGGAAAATCCAAAGAAGTACTACAAGTACCACCATGGCACCAGCCACGACACAGAGGACTGCTATGAGTTATAAAATGAAATAGAGTCCCTCATCCTCCGCGGTCACCTAAAGTGGTACGTCGGAGGTGAGGCTAGGGCTTCGCCATCGTAGCAGCAACAGATAGACAGCATCATAGAAGTCATTGTTGGGGCACGACCTCGGGAGGATCCTCGGCCTTAGCTCGCAAGACCTATGCCAGGCAGTTGAATACCCATGAGTCATCCCCCAAGAAGTAGAAATAGAGAGAAGCCCTTGCTTTCACAAACGTGGACTTGCGGGGGCTCTCAGTCCCCCATGACTACGCACTCGTGGTGTCCGTTGTCGTCGCAAATTTCATGGTGAAGAGGATATTGGTGGATAGATGCTCCTTGACTGACATCCTCTTCTATGACGCATTCGAAAGAATGAAGATAGCACTCGAGCACTTGCAACCCTCTGACATGCCACTCGTTGGATTCTCCATAAATGTAGTCAGGCTGGAGGGAAGAATCACCCTACCAGTCATGGTAGGGACAAAACCTCTGTAGGTGACGTGGATGAACGAGGTCCTAGTCGTGAGAATCGGCTCCCCCTACAATGCCATCATCAGGAGGTCGACCCTCCATGCACTTAAGGCAGCCATCTCATCCTATCACCTCGCCCTCAAGTTCCCCACCAAGCACGGCGTTGAAGTCGTTCGGGGGGATCAATAAGTCGCATGCTAGCACCAGTGCTATGTGACAGCACTAAAGGGTAAGAACAAGGGAGTCCTGCCACTCGAGGGCCTCGACCTCAAGGAGGAACCAGCGAGCCAAGGCCAACCAGTCGAGGACTTCTTCTTGGTTCCCCTAGACGAGGCTAAGCCCAATAAAATAGTCCACATTGGGTCCAACCTTCCCCTAGAAATCCTATTCAAACTGATAAGTTTCCTTAGAACCAATGCCAACTTCTTTGCTTGGTCTGTCGTTGACATGCCCGGAATTCACCCTTCAGTCATAACTCATAGGCTGAGTATGGACCTGAGCTATAGGCCAGTTCGGCAAAGAAAAATGAACTTTGCACCAGAGTGATGGAAGGCCATAGGAGAGGAAATTGACAAACTACTTGACGTCGGCTTCATCCGAGAGGTACATTACCCTAACTGGTTGTCCAATGTGATTATGGTGAAGAAATTTAACGGGAAGTGGCGGATCTATATTAACTTCACAGACCTTAACCGAGCCTGCCCCAAAGACAGTTTTCCTTTGCTGATGATAGATACCTTTTCGACGCCACCATAGGGTACGAGCTACTTAGCTTCATGGATACCTTCTCTGGATATAACTAGATTAAGATGCACCCTAAAGACAAAGAAAATACCTCCTTCATTACCGAGCACGACACATATTGCTACAAGGTTATGCCCTTCGACCTCAAGAATGCCGGGGCCACCTGCCAGCGCTTCGTTAATAAAGTTTTCAAGCACCAAATGGGAAGAAACATTGAAGCCTATGTAGATGATATGGTGGTAAAGAGCTTGAAATCCGACCAACACACTGTAGGGATGGGAGATCCATCATATGGATGACCGAACCATGCAGGATGGCTGGGCAAAATTACAAAAAATTTATTTCTCCCATCTAGGAATTGTATTCCCTTATTTAGAAAAACTACATTTTTCAAGGTTCATTCTTGAAACAAACTGGACCAGACCTGAAACCAAAAGAGAGAGAGGGATATACCTGATATAGAATCGTAAGTAACTCCTAACGTAGGTGTTCACGCCCAAAGAGGTCACCAAAACCCGCCTCCATTGAAGATGACACAACTTATGGTGAGGCAGGATCAACAAGGAGGTTCTTTAGCAAGAATCAAGTAGGGTGTGAGCACGACTTTAGATTGTTTCTTCTAGCAAGAAACAATATCAAGATCTAATCTTGATAAGTTCCAAGAATGGAGATCGAACTAGGTAGGGGTGCTAAGAGCTGAGGGAGAAAACTGTAGAAGAAGAATTCACCTACTGAGGAATTCACCCCCTTATTTATAACCCTTTTGGGATCAGGTTCCTAATCCAATTAGGAAGGAGTTTATTTATCCAAATCTGATATTTGGATATGGACTCTTAAGGAGATAAGACTTATTTTATCCTACTGCTGATCCTAATTAGATTATAAACCAAATTCACCCCATTTAATTAAATCACTTAAACCCAGTTCGAAATGGGCTTTAGGCCCATTAAGTCATATGGCTCACTTTCCCTTTTAAATGCTGGCTAGTTGGCTCTCTTGTATGGCGTGGGACCCTAGCATTGATCTCCACAAAAGCCATATGGGTTCAGCCCAACCTCTGTTACAAGGCCTGGCCGAATTCACTACTGAAGACAGTGAACACCTGAGCCCATCAATATGGGCTCTTAGCAAGCCCAACATTTATACTAAATGGTCCCTGGGTCCAACCACCTTATGAAGGCCCAATGATTATGGACTTATGTGAGATTAGCCCATCAGGTAAAACTCTAAATGGTTTTATACTTAACCTCTAAGCCCATAATGATCAAACACTACCCGACAAGAGAGGACCTCTCCCTCGACTACAAGGTATAGTGTTGCACTCTCAACTCACATGGATCTTGGGAATTAAAATATTTTGCAAACATTTTGTGAAACCATAATATATATGCATATCTCTATATAAATATATATTTGCAATAACAAATCTCAACAAGTTTGAAATCAATTATTGGCATTTTAGGTTTCCATCAGAGAGAGTGCATTCCCTGATCATTGACTTTGTCTAACAAAGGGGCTGATTTTGTCACTATGATCAGTCACTCAGGTGAATTCTCAGACTGCCCCAGCATACTCAGGTTTTGACCC